GAGCTCCCATTGCTAGGTCCCTGCTCCTACCCACCCAAGCAGACACGACTAAACAACTAAACAACAACAACTCAGAATCTCTGCAAGATTTTTCTCTGCTTTATTGAATTCTCCTCTTATTTCATCAGCACAAAACCAGGGCTTGGAATTTGCCATTTGGCCAAGCCGTCACGGGCCGAAGAGGTCCACTTATTCCTGTTCCCCTTTTACCTGCTGCCAACTTGTTTGCTGAAGGCCCCATGGGTGACTCTCAACTTGCTTGCATGCCAGCCCACCATCCTTTTGCCCCCCCCCAGATAATGGGCCCCGATCCGGTTACTCAGAAACTCTGTGCCAAAAACTCCGTGTGTGCAGGTAGTGCGGAGGAGAGCCTTAAGGGAATGGTGTGGTTTTTTTTGCCAGCGTGGACCCTATCACTCTTTTCTGCCGGTGTGTTTGGGTTGCCAACTTACCAGGAGGGAGAGAATTTAAGCACCCTTCTGGCACCTGCGCTTTTGAAACGGCTGCTCGGGTCTGCCATCGGACTTTTGCATAGCATGGAGAACCAATCAACCCCCCGGGATGTTTGGGTTGCCAACTTACCGGGGGGAGAGAATTTAAGCGTCTTTCTGGCACCTGTGCTTTTTAAACGGTTGCTCGGGTCTGCTGTCGGACTTTCGCATAGCAAGGGGAACCAACCACCCACCCCGCTAAAAATCTGCAGGCCAGGATTCTGTTAACAGCAGAAGAGCACGGACAATTCGTAGAGGGGATAGTGGCAACCACAATGCAACCCCAATCCTGGGATTCCTGCGATAAAAGAACTCAAAAAGGCAACTTCTGCAAGAAGTTAAAGAGTCCGTTTCCTGCCTTTCCCAGATTCTTTTTTTCTTTTTTGGGGGGGCGTGCAGCAATCTTAGAGGTGCAAAATACATCGTGCAGTTATAACGGGCATCGCTGCCTCCGAGCAAACGATGAAAAATAAAAAATAAAAATGGACCGAGGGGGAAATGTCCAGCCAAAGATCTCCATCGCCGCGCAAGTTCAAAAGCAAAAGGCTTTTCGGAAAGGAGGAAGGTGATTTCGGACAAGCGGCGGAAGCGAGTCTTTCTGCCCCCCGGAAAAAGAGACACGACTTCAGGCAAAAGTTCAGGCCGCGTCTTCGTAGGTGTAATGGTTCCGATCCGGCTCGCTGAGGGGCACGTTGGGCTTGTGAGCGGGGTCTTCAGCGCATAGGGATGAGGGACGGTGCTTGAAGAAGTCAGAGACGTAGCGGACCTGGAGAGGCGGGAAATTAATAATAATAATAATAATAATAATAATAATAATTTATTATTTGTACCCCGCCCATCTGGCTGGGTTTCCCCAGCCACTCTGGGTGGCTTCCACAGAGACCAAAAATACACTAAAATGTCACACATTAAAAACTTCCCTGAACAGGGCTGTCTTAAGATGTCTTCTGAATGTCAGGTAGTTGTTTATCGCTTTGACATCTGATGGGAGGGCGTTTCACAGGGTGGGCGCCACCACTGAGAAGGCCCTCTGCCTGGTTCCCTGTAGCCTCACTTCTCGCAATGAGGGAACCGCCAGAAGGCCCTCAGAGCTGGACCTCAGCGTCCGGGTAGAACGATGGGGGTGGAGACGCTCCTTCAGGGATACTGGGCCGTTTAGGGCTTTAAAGGTCAGCACCAACACTTTGAATTGTGCTCGGAAACGTACTGGGAGCCAATGTAGGTCTTTCAAGACTGGTGTTATGTGGTCTCGGCGGCCGCTCCCAGTCCCCAGTCTAGCTGCCGCATTCTGGATTAGTTGTAGTTTCCGGGTAACTTTCAAAGGTAGCCCCATGTAGAGCGCATTGCAGTAGTCCAAGCGGGAGATAACCAGAGCATGCACCACTATGGCCAGACAGTCTGCGGGTAGGTAGGGACTCATCCTGCATACCAGATGGAGCTGATAAACAGCTGCCCTGGATACAGAATTGACCTGTGCCTCCATGGCCGCTGTGAGTCCAAAATGACTCCCAGGCTGCGCACCTGGTCCTTCAGGGGGCACAGTTACCCCATTCAGGACCAGGGAGTCCTCCACACCAACCTGCCCCCTGTCCCCCAAAAACAGTCCTTCTGTCTTGTCAGGATTCAGCCTCAATTAAGCGCCGCGTTTGCAGGATAAATCCCAGCGCCGGCCCTCACAAGAGGCAGAGCTAGGCGGCTGCCTCGGGCAGCAAATATTGAGGGGCCGACAGCGAAAAGGGACTGGAAGGAGGCAGTGAAACCCCTGGGGGAATCCGTCCCACCAGCCCCGGGCAGAGGGCGCATTCAGACGCAGGGAATATTGCCTCGGAGATTACAATGCTGGTTGTCAGCATAGGACCCCGGTGCTCAGGGGTCTGCAATGGTTGCTGATCTGTGACCGGGCTGAGCTCAAGGTGTTACTATATAAAACACACACACACACACAACTTGGAACCCGTTTACCTGCGAGATCACCTTGCCCCACAGGAACCTACTTAAATCGCTCTGTTTGGTGTAATTGGCCCTGCTTAAATGGGACGCAGGTGGCGCTGTGGGTTAAACCACAGAGCCTAGGACTTGCCGATCAGAAGGTCGGCGGTTCGAATCCCTGTGACGACGGGGTGAGCTCCCGTTTCTCGGTCCCTGCTCCTGCCAACCTAGCAGTTCGAAAGCACGTCAATGTGCAAGTAGATAAATAGGTACCACTCCGGCAGGTTCCGTGCGCTGCTCTGGTTCCCCAGAAGCGGCTTAGTCATACTGGCCACATTGGAAGCTGTACGCTGGCTCCCACGACCAGTAAAGCGAGATGAGCTCTGCAACCCCAGAGTCGGCCACGACTGGACCTAATGGTCAGGGGTACCTTTACCTCTAAACGTGCCGCCATACCCCCTGTTCCGTGTTTGTAAGAACTTGACTTTGCAACTCTCTGCCTATAGACATCAAGCAGCTGGCTGCCTTTGCTGGACTTGTTCCGGCGCCTGCTAATATAAACTGTCCCTGACTCTGACGATGTTTAGAAAGCGGAGGCCATTTTAATCCATTTCAGTATTTTTGCATGTTTCCTCATTCTACCTTTAAACAACTTTGAGGTTTTCTGTGTGTGTTTTGTTTTGTTTCTTTTTACAGTCAAGCAATATACAGTGGTACCTCGGGTTACATACGCTTCAGGTTACATACGCTTCAGGTTACAGACTCCGCTAACCCAGAAATAGTGCTTCAGGTTAAGAACTTTGCTTCAGGATGAGAACAGAAATTGTGCTCTGGTGGCGCGGCAGCAGCAGGAGGCCCCATTAGCTAAAGCGGTGCTTCAGGTTAAGAACAGTTTCAGGTTAAGTACGGACCTCTGGAACGAATTAAGTACATAACCTGAGGTACCACTGTATATATTTTATGAAATGAAGACCACGAACAGTGACATCACGGAATGTTCGCAGGCATACCAGCCAATCGGAAGCAGGAACAGAACCGCAAGGGGACTAATTTAGGAGCTGTGTGTTAGGGAGAGAGTGGGCGAAGGCAGGTAGGCACCCGGCCGGGATTCGAACTCGGTTCTATGCACCCCCAGCCTGGCAGGGCCCGGGGGCCCCCCCGATGGACTATGCCCCCTTCCCACCTCAGCTCCGCCCCCCGACAGAGACTTACGATGAGGATAGCAATCAGCATTCCTTGCAGGAGCCCCAGCAACACGTCGCTCCAGTGATGTTTATAGTCCGAGACCCGGGTGTAGCCCACGAAGATGGCGAAGGAGATGAGGAAGAACTGGATGGTAGGGCGAACCAGGCGTGCCCATCGACCAACCAGGCGTGCTTGGACGTAGAGCTGGAAAGAGAGAAAGAGAGAGAGGAAGGATTGGCTGCGGAGCAGATTTCTGACCTGCAAAAAGGGTCTGCTGCCTTTCTTCTTGAAAGACCTGCATTGGCTCCCAGTACTTTTCCGAGCGCAATTCAAAGTGTTGGTGTTGACCTTTAAGCCCTAAACGGCCCAGTATACCTGAAGGAGCATCTCCACCCCCATCGTCCAGCCCGGACACTGAGGTCCAGCAACGAGGGCCTTCTGGTGGTTCCCTCCCTGCGAGAAGTGAGGCTACAGGGAAACAGGCACAGGGCCTTGTCGGTGGTGGCACCGGCCCTGTGGAATGCCCTCCCACCAGATGTCAAAGAGAAAAAGAACTACCAAACTTTCAGAAGACATCTGAAGGCAGCCCTGTTTAGGGAAGCTTTTCATGTTTAATAGGTTACTGTATTTTAGTGTTTTGTTGGAAGCCGCCCAGAGTAGCTGGGGAAACCAAGCCAGATGGGCGGGGTATAAATAATAAATTATTATTATTATACCTTTAGTGCCAGCATATAGAGTTTACATGTTCTTTTATGTTAGCATTCAGAACCAGGATGGCGTAACGGTTTGGGGGTTGGTCTCTGACCTGGGTGAGACCATGAAGCTCACTTGTGATCTCGGGCCAGTCACTGCCTCAGACCAGTATCCCTGAAGGAGTGTCTCCGCCCCCATCGTTCAGCCCAGACACCGGGGTCCATCTCCGAGGGCCTTCTGGCAGTTCCCTCCCTGCGAGAAGCGAGGTTACAGGGAACCAGGCAGAGGGCCTTCTCAGTAGTGGCGCCCTCCCTGTGGAACGCCCTCCCACCAGATGTCAAGGAAATAAACAGCTATCTGACTTTTAGAAGACATCTGAAGGCAGCCCTGTTTAGGGAAGTTTTTAATGGTTGATGTTTTATCGCTTTATTATTATTATTATTATTATTATTCTGTTGGGAGCTGCCCAGGGTGGCTGGGGAAACCTAGCCAGATGGGCGGGGTATAAATAATAAATTATGACGATGATGTCTTAACCCAAACTCCCCTGTTTCATCTGGAGATGGTAAGGATCGAACCCAGAACCTTCTGGGTTCAAAGCAAGCCTTCTGCCACTGAGCAAAGTTTCCAAAAGTCGGGAAACAAACGGCACACTTACTGCTAGGAACATCATGCAGTACATTCCAAATGAGGAGTGTCCGGAATAGAAAGATAACCTAGGAGGGAAAAAAAGAGAGAGATTACAAATAATAATAAAAAAATAAACACATCTTCGGGTTCTAAAAGTCCTTGGCAGGCAACTGTTCTTGGGATGGATCTACACACAGGAAAATCCCCACCATAAATAAGTCAGAAATCAAATCATCATAACAAAAGTTGGGGAAAAATCACTATGTAAAATCGCACAGAAAAGTTTTCTGCTCCGTTGCGCCACCTGGTGTTGCACGTTTGCAACACATTCAAAACATTGACTAATGTAGCGGAGTCGTTGGAGTGAAGGGGTCTGGCGCTGCCTGGTGGAACGGATCCCAAGGGTCGTTTAGTCTGACCCCCTGCAACGCTGGGATCTTTCGAACCCTCAACCCTAAGATTAAGCGGCTCAGGCACCACTATGGTGTTCAAAGACTCTGAAGAAAGCGTGAGACGGAAGCACCCAAAATAAATAGAAACTGTTAACTTCTATTGCGAAGATCATGGCCACTGGGCCCATCACCTCCTGGCAAATAGAAGGGGAAGAAATGGAGGCAGTGAGAGATTTTACTTTCTTGGGCTCCATGATCACGGCAGATGGTGACAGCAGCCACGAAATTAAAAGACGCCTGCTTCTTGGGAGAAAAGCAATGACAAACCTAGACAGCATCTTAAAAAGCAGAGACATCACTTTGCCAACAAAGGTCCGTATAGTTAAAGCTATGGTTTTCCCAGTAGTGATGTATGGAAGTGAGAGCTAGACCATAAAGAAGGCTGATCGCCGAAGAATGGATGCTTTTGAATTCTGGTGCTGGAGGAAGAAGAAGAAGAAGAGTTTGGATTTGATATCCCGCCTTTCACTCCCCTTCAGGAGTCTCAAAGCGGCTAACATTCTCCTTTCCCTTCCTCCCCCACAACAAACACTCTGTGAGGTGAGTGGGGCTGAGAGACTTGTATGACTGGCCCAAGGTCACCCAGCGGCTGCATGTGGAGGAGCGGAGACGCGAACCCGGTTCCCCAGATTATGAGACTACCGCTCTTAACCACTATACCACACTGGCTCTCAAGAGCTCTCTGGAGAGTCCCATGGACTGCGAGAAGATCAAACCTCTCCATTCTGAAGGAAATCAGCCCTGAGTGCTCACTGGAAGGACAGATCCTGAAGCTGAGGCTCCAAGACTTTGGCCACCTCATGAGAAGAGAAGACTCCCTGGAAAAGACCCTGATGCTGGGAAAGATGGAGGGCACAAGGAGAAGGGGACGGCAGAGGACGAGATGGTGGGACAGTGTTCTCGAAGCTACTAACATGAGTTTGACCAAACTGCGGGAGGCAGTGGAAGACAGGAGGGCCTGGCGTGCTCTGGTCCATGGGGTCACGAAGAGTCGGACACGATTAAACGACTAAACAGCAACAACAAACATCTATTGACTTGGGACACAATATAGACTACGATGCATGGGCTAAACTTTGGAACGAGAATCTAAAATTCACTGCATGCTCTGCTTTAAAAGAGAATGTAATGAAAATGGTTTATCACTGGTATCTCACTCCCACCAAACTGGCAAAAATGTATAGGACAAGTAGCAAAACTTGCTGGAAAAGAACGGCGATTTTTACCACATGTGGTGGTCATGTAACAAAATAACAGAGTTTTGGGAATCGATCTAGAATGAGTTAAAAAAAATGTTTAAATATACTTTTCCCAAAAAGCCGGAAGAATTTTTGCTAGGCTTGGTGGGAGAAGATATTAAGAAGACAGACCAAAGATTATATCTGTATGCAACAACAGCAGCTAGAGTTTTGATAGCCCAAAAGTGGAAGTCGCAGGAGATTCCGACTGTAAGGGAATGGCAGATAAAGTTGGTCAAAGACGCTGAAATGGCAAAATTGACACACAGAATTCTCAATCAAGAGGAGACGAAGTACCCAAAAGAGTAAATTTATGGTTTATATAAGTGAGAACTGTAGAAATATGAAAACGTTGGCAGGATTGAATTAAATCTTATGTCACGGTGTAATTTTTAACCAATGAAACTTTGAATTATAGATTGGAATAAGAAAACTTGTGGAAGGGAAGGACGGAAGTCAATGGCTCCATGGAGCATAAAGTAGGATATATGTAATAAGACTTGATGTTTCTGTTGGTTGGTGTTGTTGTTTAGTTGTTTAGTCGTGTCCACCTCTTCGTGACCCCCTGGACCAGAGCACGCCAGGCACTCCTGTCTTCCACTGCCTCCCGCAGTTTGGTCAAACTCATGCTGGTAGCTTCGAGAACACTGTCCCACCATCTCGTCCTCTGTCGTCCCCTTCTCCTTGTGCCCTCCATCTTTCCCAGCATCAGGGTCTTTTCCAGGGAGTCTGCTCTTCTCATGAGGTGGCCAAAGTCTTGGAGCCTCAGCTTCAGGATCTGTCCTTCCAGTGAGCACTCAGGGCTGATTTCCTTCCGAATGGAGAGGTTTGATCTTCTTGCAGTCCATGGGACTCTCAAGAGTCTCCTCGAGCAGCAGAATT